CCCCTTTGACGATGAACGACTCTCAGCATGACCTTTATTTATAAAGCACTTTAAAATCAAACGCTGTGCCAAACAGAGACAAATAACAAACAGAAAATAAAATCAAACATGTTAAAAATAGAGAATTAAAAAAAGCCATCACTTTAATATACATTTTTATTATTGTCAAATTTATTTATATAGCACATCACCAACAGGCTGCACAAACTGCTTTACAATGTGTTTTAAAAAGCAGCTTAAGACTCATTTATTTAGACTTTTAATTAGATTTGTGCTGTGTTTTATTATTAATGTATTTTATGTATTACTGTTTTATATTACTGTGAAGCACTTTGTGGTTTTTATCCTGTGAAAAGTGCCATATAAATAAATTGATTTGATTTGATTTTTGAAATACCACTAAAATAAATAAATGCACAACAAAGATGCAGAGAAGAAAAAATAAAAATGAATAAATATGCTGTGTGAATGTTAGAGGTCATGTGACTTTATGCTGTGTTATAAGAATTTAAATTTATCTGAAAACTGCTGTAAGCCTGTTACATATTAGATTATCTTCTATAATACGATATTGATTTTATTTTGAGCATTATTTAATGTGGGAGATGCAGAAACGCAGCCGTCCTGCCGCACAGAGAGGATCCGGTGATAATCCCACATATTCAGGAACAATGTTGTATAAATTTGACTTCTACACGTGCTGTGTGCATGGATTTCTGTCCAAGAATAAAGATGCAGAGTCGGTCTGAATGCAGACGTTGTTTTATAAACTGTGTTTGTATGTGAATCAGTCAGTCAGCCACAGGAACAACAGTTTCATTTCAAAGCTCACCTTCCCAAAGCCGGCTCTGTGCCGGGAAGCCCGCCACTTTAAAAGAGCTCTGCTTGATGTCAGGCGGGTTGTTGATGACTACAAAAATGTCCGTCAAGTTACGACCGTCTGAGAGACCCTTCACCAAACGTTAGTGGGGTTTATAAATATGTCCTTCTGAAACAGTTCATGTGTTTTGGATGATCCAAAATAAACTCTGTAAAGCTGAACAGTTGTTCCACCCGGGAAAAAGAAAAGCCCCAAACTAACATGACATCGACCACGAGTGGATGTAAACGTCTGACCACGACTGTAAATGTACTTTATGTGTGTTTACATGTAGATGCTAACACGTGTGGGGTCGTCAGGCCTTCACCTGAGTCAGGTGTCCGGGGACAGCGTGTGTGTTTCATGAACAGCAGAGCGACACACTAGTGTTTCAGCCTCAGAGCTAAAGCTTGAGGCAACAGAGAGCGACGCCACCTGAAAACAGTTCGTGTTGCTGCCGTCGGACTCGGCACAGACTTGTGAGTCAGAACGAAGTGAAAACGAATACACACATGCACGTAAGTCTTCCCTCCACCTCTTCCTCCTACCCCTTCCTTCTTCCTCGCTTCTTATCGTGCTACTTTCCCCACCCCTTTCTGCCTTTCTTCACTCAGCTCGCTTTGAAGGGAGGAAATTTGCACTTTTGCACAAGCACGAGCAGCAGCAGCAGGCTGGGGATGAAGTGATTCACAGCAGGGAGAAGGGGGAGGGAGGGAGGGCAGAGGAGTTTGACACTTCACTTCCTTTCACATCAGGTTGACTGTTGTTGCTGCCTTGATCTGATTTGTGTCGTCTGGCTGCTTCTCACTGAGCTTCTGGTGGCTCGTTGACACTGTGATGGATCTGAGGGCTCTTGTGATCATCTCTGCGCTCTTACTCGTGACTAATGGTAAGTCTGCTTTATTGTGGGGCAAACTGGATACTAAAAGCAGAGCAGGCCTCTCAGTCGGTTTGTCTTTGCTATAACTGTATTGTAGGGGTGGCTGTAGCTCAGGTGGTAGAGCAGGTCATCTACTGATTGGAAGGTTGGTGGTTCGATTCCTGGCTTCCCCAGTCTGCAAAATATCCTTGGGCAAGATACTAACCCCAAATTGCTCTCCGATGCATCCATCGGAGTATGAATGTGTGTGAATGTTAGCTATAAAGCATTTAGAAAGATGTCTGTCTGAATGGGTGAATGCACAAGTTGTGTAAAGCGCTTTGAGTGCTCAGATGAGTAGAAAAGCGCTATATAAGAACCAGTCCATTTACCATTTAGATGCTCAGGGGCACAAGATCAACTCCTCACTTTGTAAAGTGGGCAGGAAAGTCCGTCCTTTAACTCTGCTTTCATCAGACAAACCTTGATGATGAGCAACGATCGAGAGCTCAGAGCTGCGATGTGGAGCTGTGGTTTGAACGACATGTTGTTCACCATGAGGATGAATGAACACTCGGTTTCATGCTAACAAACATCAGGTAGAGCGTGAGGATGACTGTGAACAGTGCATCACACTACAGCACTGAACCGTATAACAGCACGACCATCTCACAGTATCAGCCTGTTGTTGTGTCACAGCTGAAGCTGAGCTGCTTTGTAACCTTCAGATCAACTTCTTAAATGACTATAAAGGTGGCGGTCACTGTGTTACTGAAGCTCCTGCACTAACACGTCCGTGTCACCGATAATTAACGTGGATATTTTACAGTCCGGAGAGTCTGCTGCATCTCGTCGTGTTGGTTTCACCTAACTGGCAGCGTCTCCTCTACCACCAACAATGAGCTAAATACTGTCACGAAGAACTCAAAGCTTGGAGCAGCAGCGTCCTGCTCCTCTGCTGAAGGCCTCTCTGTGGAGCAGGTGCTTCCTCCGCAGCAGCAAACACTTATTTTCACCCCACAAACTTAAAATAGTAAAGATAGTGTGAATACTGGCCTCCCACTCCTATTTGTTCACTGAGTTTAACATGTGCACTGTGGGCTTCAGTGTCTCCCAGCAGCACAAAGCTGTGTCCACGGACCCTAAACACTCAAACACTTTAGACGTGGAAACAAAAGGAACAGCAGGAAACGAGCACTGAGCGTGTTTACTCTGTTTTCAACAACAAAGTCATTTGAACATATCGTCAGGTTTGGAGAGGATTCGCCATCAGTAGTGAAAACACGCAGGAGCGTCAAAGATCGGCCCAGTCAGCCTCACGATGCACTCCAACAAAAATAAAACACAGACACAGCAGCATGGTGTCCGTGGGTCGTCCTGCCAGTGTCGGTCCGTTTGCTGCTCCATCGTTGGCGTCTGACCCGCTCTCTATCCTGACACGTCTGATCGGCCTCTCATCTTTACATCACCTGAAATCTTGTTTTCAATGAGAAGCTGTTACTGACCGTAACCTGCTGACACAAGCGGCAATTTGAATTCAAGCACCGCAAAGTCGTAAACCTGAGAAATATTTTTTCTTATAAAGCCGTGAGCTCGAAACACCAAGACAAGAAAAAAATTACTGTTAAACACTCGAACATTAAAATAAATTAAAATAATATTTTAGCCTCTTATTAAATATTTAATTCTCGTCTGTTTTGCATCATCATTGATCACACGACTGGAAAATAATGAAAACTATCAATGTGGGATGTTTACATCTGATCTGCTTTACGGTCGTTCAGCTTCTGTGAACATCACGCAGCAACAACAAAGTTACAGGAGACACACACAGGAAGTTTTCAAGCATAGTTTTTACACTTTTAATGTTTTGTGTGTTTGCACCAAGCAAGCGTGACTGCAACACGGTTTTAAACTTGTTTTAAAGGGGAAAGAAGTAAAAAACAGATAAAATAAAACCTCAAAAACAGACTGAAGATTGTTACAAATAACATGATAATAAACCAGATGCAGATTATTCACATCCATTAAAATAAGTTTAAATGTTGATGCTTCGTCTGCTGCACATTACTTCATGCAGTACGTGATGATGCAAACAGAGCACAGCTAAATAAAAAGGCCACTGACACAAATCCTCCCTGCAGTTACAATCCTGCTGGTTTTACTCAGCGTCAAAACCTTCGTCGTTATCTTAGTGAAGCTGTTAGCGAAGGAGCGCCCAGATCATTCTTTGCTCATCTTTCTTTTATTTTGGACTTTAATCTGAGCACAGGGAAAATATTCCTGGTGCGACTCGTCATTAATGTCTCTTTGTCTTCACCAACATGCTGATATTGAGATTTTCCAGCAGCCGGGCCGAAAGCGTTTGTCCGCCGCTGACTGTTCAGGGTGGTGCGCACTCTTGTGTCGATCACTAGTCTGGACAGTGATGAGAAAAAACTGTTTTTCTAACCAAAATAAAAAATGCTGTCATAACACCAAGGCAACAAATTAATGGTAAACTGCTGTGAACTGTAAAACTCATTTTTATTACAACCAGCTGGGCATCACCAACGCTCACAGCGCAGTTACAGCCTGTGTGCTGTAGCTGCATCAGTGCATCCAGAAACAACCGTCAGCTGGAGTTTGGATCTTATTTAATCCACAAATCTTTATGATTAGTTACTAAAGTAAATATAGAGATAACGACGTGCTGTGAGTCGTTTTTACAGGTAATAATTTACCTGGAATGACGTCTTCATACACAAAAACTAGAAATGACATCAGTGAGTCTGAAACCTGCTTTAACTGACAGAGAAAAGCTTATTAAACACTGGTTTTACTGGCAGTTTCAGCACAGAGTTCGTCGTTAATCTGAGTATCGCTGTTTCTGCAGAGTTCCTTCATATCTTTGATCAAGTTACTGAACTGTTGATCATCTGTTGGTGTGTGTAGTAAAGCTAATAGAAGAAGAAGCACTGTATAAATGTGTGATTGTGGCTTGTAGTGTGAAAGCAAGTGCTGGAAAAGTAGAACGTACTTAAATACCCTCACAGATACTTCAATATCGGCGCTTCAGCAGCACAATGATCGATGGATCGATAACATGAGACGATCAGTTCGAGAAACTAACAAAGACTCATTTTGAACAGGAAGAGGGAATAAATTCAAGGTGAATTCAAGATGTGATGTTAGTTTAGACCGTCACAAAGGTCACCTGTGGTGCTTTCAGGGTCACAGCAGGCCTCGGATGATCGCTGCCCGAGTGGCCGTCAGCCTCGTGGGCCATTTTTGATCTGCTCGTCGTAGCGCGAACAGTCGTTGTTATCCAAACATGACCACACAATAGAGTTCGTACTCGAGTGGGCACTGAATTATGCTTCAGGAGTAGCACCCAATGACCGGATGCTGTTCATGATATACTCAAAGGGTGATTTTACTGGTCTGATACGTCGGGGACATTTTAACGGTACATTTACTCTTTCTGCTCTGATGCTGCCGAGAGGCTCCCAGAGCTTCTTCCACCTAAAATGATCTTTAAAGCTTCCTGTTCATTCTGATCCACACAGACCTCGACTGTGACACCAGCCAAATAATAAATTAAACAAGAAACAAATACCAGTAAAAATAAATTAAAAATAACATACATATGAAATGTTTTGTGTGTATTCCAGATAAAATTAGTATATTTTATTAGAAAGATAAGTTTGAAATGCGGGTCAGTCTGTACTGTTCGTCTTTATATAAAAAGCTCTGTACGTGTCTCAGCGGTTTAGTCGTGCACATAGTTTCACTTCTGTTTGCAGAGGCTTTGAAATCATGCCGCTGAAACTTGTCACCGCTACAGCTCAGCGGCACCAAATAGAAGATGATTTCTGGTGTTTCGAGAATAAGAAGGTGA